AAACTCCAACTTATCCATGCGATCATTAAGCACCTCGAGTGTAGAATGGTGTAACTCCTTCACTTGGTTCATCACCAAATTCAAGAGGTTTTGAACATCTACATTTTGAATCCTTGTGTCCTTCTCTCCTGCCATTAGGAAAATTAATATGGAAATATATGTATAGATTAGTTAGAAAATAAGCCCTCACAACTCTCGTGTTTCACTCCTCACGTATTGTACCTCTCCGTCTTGCACAAAGAACAAATTAGATCGGTGGAATGTTTCCAAAGATGTGACAAAAAAAAAATCAAGAGAGTGAAAGCAACTACGAAGAACTCGAATTAATTTGAGAAATAAAAAAGAAAAAAAAATACTTATGATGGAAAATGCGGAAGCTATAATAGAACAAACAAACAAGTGTGCTGTTTTTTTATTAGCACAAGCTTTTGTAATAATTTTTTTTTTATTTTCCTTTTTTTTTTGAAAAGAAAGAATAACACTCGATTGTAGAAACTCGAGCTAACTAGCTCTGATACCAAAATGACGTAAGCCGCGTGGGTTCATATATTTTTCCCAAAAGAATATATTTCCAAGATTGTAATTAATGGTAGTACATTCCCAAAAAGTGATGCAAGCAATGATGTCAATGCTATGATGTAAGCAATGACATCATCACATGTCTTAAATTATTTTGATTTTTATAACCGTTAAGCTCGGGCCGATAGGTCTCCATGCTTCATCTTTGTTTATATTCTTCATCTCGAGCTCTTGTATTAATCCGGAAAATTGATCTTGAAGTTTACGAGCTCGGCTTCGGGTTATTGGTCCAAGTGGTTCGGAAGGCTTTTGGACGTTCACGTCACTTAGTCAATATTTGCTGTCATTCTACAGAGGTGGGCGTCTGGGCCGTCGCTTGCAAGCGGGAGAGACTGTCGCTTGCGAGCGGTGGAAGCTTCCACTTGTCTCTCTTGCCTTAGTCTTTTCTAAGAGATGCATTGGTCGCTTGCGAGCGGAGGTGGCCATCGCTTGTGGCATCTGTCTTAGCTTTTCTAGCACCAGAATACCACTTAAAAAGAGCAAAAATCGTTAATAATCTCAACAACGAACTCTGGATCATACCAAGCGATATAGATCAATAATGTATGTCATTAACAGGTTATTATGATGGTTTTTACACAGAAATTCGAGTAATACACAGTTTTGCCAAGCTAAGAATATGCTCATATTTGGAGTCATCAGTTGCCCTCCTTGCAGGCGTTGGAGAATCGTTACATTGCCGAATTGCAATCTTGCTCCACCCGTCGGTCCCCTAGATGATCCAGTGTTCCCCCGACCCAAGCTAGTACCGACGTTCCCTGTGAGGGATGGAATCCCTCCAGCAGATGGAGTTATTCCTCTCGGACCTCCATATGTGTTTTCTGGAATTCCAGAATTCTGGACTCCACTGGCTGCTGCTCGACGTTCCTCTTCGCGAATCTGAAACGCTTCATTCCTCACAGTTGGCCGGATCACATCAGCCAATTTCCTAGAGATTTCGTACGCGATATCCCCGATTCCAGCCTAAATACACTGATTCACTTCCCTGCGTACCATGGTCACCATCGTTTAGGTCGATGATGATTCCTCTTCTCTACTCAACCCTGGGGTGCAGCTTCCACTAGGATGAACCGGCGTTCCAGTTCCAGGAAATCTTGCACCGATATTCAGGCCTGAGCCCTGATTCTGATTGTCCATGGCGATCACTCTACCACTACGAAGTCGCATACACGAACACGAACCCGACTTGGTCCCACTGGACGTCCCAATTGTTGGATCCTAAAATTCGGAGGTTCTAAATAGCTCGTCGATTTCGTCGATGTGGGTTCCGGAAGTACTCCAGAGAGCCAATCCGTCGTCGGGTTATGCAGATTTTACGCGATTAGCGAACTAAACTACGATAATCTATGGAAAGCACGTAAATAAATTTCAGAAAGCATGTAACTGGAATTAAATTGCATAAAAACAAAAATAAAACATGAAAGAAAAGTAGGAAAATAGACGATTTGATCTCTTATGCGTGTGTGTGTTGTGTTTCTTTTTCGTAATTGTAGTCCAAAGCTAGAATAACCACTTCTCCCACTAACAGGGGTGGTTACAATTATTCCTCCACTTCTTTCTACCTCTCTCAACCACCAAGTAACCTCCTTCCATCAGCTCTCAGCTGCTTCCATTGCCTCTGGACCGAGTTCCATTCGTTTTGAGCATCTTCCGTCGTTCCTGGACCAAGTTCCATTCGCTCTGGATTTCTTCCATTGCCTTCGGATCAGACCTGCAGCTTACCCTGATTTGTTTCCATCATACTCCTAGCCGGTCTACGGGGATATATCCCCAACAACCTCGAGTTACATGGAACCCTCATTCCTCTTCCTTTCATTTTGACCCATAGAAGCTTCCATATAGGACATATAGGTATCGTGGTCTTCCATTGATATTATGAAGTTGCCAATTCAGGGTTGATGGAGCTTGTCGTCCAAAGGTCTGTAAAAGTTATATCTTCTTACTCCAAGGAAGCTCCACATTCAAATTATTTTGGACTTGGGGTCCAACAACAACAAAATATTTATTCTAATATTTTAATTAATTTTTATAGTATGTCTGTCACTGGGGGTTTGCTGGATCTACGACAAAATCCGCTATATCAAGATACGTTATGTCGTAATTCAAAAGATTATCATCGGGGTCGTCATCATTATCAACGTGATTAGTCTCGACCTCCTTCCCCTTTTTCTGCAGTGAGGCTTGATAAAGATCGGCTAGGTGTTTGGTTGTTCTGCAGGTATTGGCCCAATAGCCTTCAATGCCACACCGATTACAAATGTTGATTTGCCTCTTTCCCTGTTTAGCCTTTTTCGGCTATACCCCGATATTGGTGTTTACTCTGCATCCTGTTAATGTCCAAACTGCGGCGATTGTAAGGGGTATATCGACCGCGTTGACTCTCACGATCGCGACCACGTCCATGGCCTCTACCACGTCTTCGGCCTCGTTCAGAAAATATCATGTTCGTTTCAGGGAACGGACTAGAACCAGTGGGTCGGGACTGATGATTTTTCATCAGTAACTCATTATTTTGCTCAACTAATAAAAGACATGCAATGAGCTGTGAGTACTTTTGAAAGTTTTTCTCACGATACTGTTGTTGCAGCACAACATTAGAAGCATGAAAGGTAGAGAGAATCTTCTCCAATTTATCATTCTCAATGCCAATTTCTCCGCAGAGTTTTAACTGAGATGTAATATGATGGATAGCAGAGTTGTACTCTGTAACAGTTTTAAAATCCTGCAACTCCAGGTTAAGCCAATCATATCGGGCTTTGAGGAAAGTGATATATTTCAAGTGTCCAAATCTCTCCCTCAATTCATTCCACAAATCAAATGGATTTTTCACCTTCAAATATTTGGACTGTAAAGGAATGTTCATATGGTGACGAATGAAAATAATAGTCTTATCCCGATCTTGGCTTGTAGCCGCATTTTCACTGGCAATTGTATGAACAAGGCGCATAGAAACCAAATGCATTTCTACATCGAGGGACCAAGTCAAAAATTTATTGTCGGTGAGTGACAGAGATTTAAAAAAAAATTTGTACGATTTTTCATAGTTTAGAAAATAAATAATATAGATAGTATAAAAATAAAACTTACCAAAAATAAAATAGGCAAGAGCCTTCGTGCTGATAACGTGTTATGTAATAATAATAATATAATAATATAATATAACAAGTGGGTAAGTTTTGTAAATATGAATATAATATTATATATATATATATATAAGTGATGTGAGGTATGTATGGTTATATATATATATATATATATTAGTAATAAATGAATACGTAAAGAGAAATTGAGAAGTGCGGAGGGAGAATGAGGGGGAGAATTGTGTGTTCATTCGTTTCACTCGTTACATATATGTATTTATAGATACACGTAGATACAATTGTGTAGTTTAACAACATCCACATTTTGCATTCGTTGTGTGTATGTGTACACTACGGATGTATTTGTTTGGGGGATTGAATTTAATTTTCATTATTCATTTTATTTTTTTCCCCAAAAACATTAAATCAAACACCTAATTTTCATTTTTTATATTATACTAAAAATTAATTTTTCATTCAAAATATCACATCAACACCTATTTATATCACATCGTACAACTATTTATATTCAAAATTTTTACTATTTAAATCCCAACTCAAAATCCAAACCCCCGAACAAACACATTTTACAACAGAATTTATATAATTATATATATACTGTGAATTTTTTTTTTTTTTTGTCTACCTAGTCAATTTAATAAACAAATATTTAATTCTATATTTAAAATTTCTTATTTTTTTGGTAAATTTATATTTTTTATTTATTTATATTATATAAATTTTTATTATCTATACAATGATATTCATATTATATATAATATTAATTATATTTAGAACACCAACACTACTATTTATATAAAAAATAATAAATAATATTATAAATTATTATTAATAATTTTTTAATCTACTCTTTAAAAATAATAATAGTATCCCTAACCAAATAGGTCATACGGAGGACTATTATTTAATTACAAAAATTACATCAATTTTTTAAAATTTAAAATCAGACGTGTGTTATATCATAGCACATATTTTGTTGATATTTTTTATTTTTGTTTGTCTACATAATTTGTCTTTTTTATATTTTTAAAATATATTATACATTTAATGACATTTTAAATTTTATAATTTTTTAAATTTTAATTAAACTATTTATTTATCTTAATTTTAATTTATAATTATTTTTACTAATAAATTAATATCTACAAATAATAGACCCAATTACATGGGATGTAAGGATTATAAAATATGAATTAAGTACACAAGTTAAATCAAATCTTCTAAATCGAAATCCTAACAAACACGCGCGTGTTATGTATATATAATCACAATGAGCAGAATTCATCAGATCAGAATATTGATTGTTGTTTTTGGCTGGTACGTACGTCTACGTACACCCAAACCCAACCCAATCTTCGTGTTTGTGACGACGTTTGCGTCTGCGTTGCTTCTTCAGATCGATCCCGACCCACACTCACACTATAATCTATTCCAATCTAATCTACTCTATTCTCCATCCATTGACTCGCAATCAGCAGCAGTCTCCGCCGCCGATTAGGTTCATAGTTCTGTGGAACCCTAAAGAGAGGTAATTAAGTTGCGTCGTCATTCCTTAATTCCTTCCGTACGTAAACCCGACGTCTCTTCTCGTCTTCTTTCACAAATCTACCAATTTATATTATCTACAAATCAAATCTTAATATTTCCCTACTTTTTCAACAAATTAAACACATGGTGGTTCCTGGCAAGTGAAATTCATTCGATTATTGCTTTGTATGTATGTATGTATGTATGTATGTATCCCCTGTATGTGGTTCTGCTTTTTTAAATTCGGTATTGATGTTTGTCTATAATCTATATGAATCCACTCGAAGTTGTTTTTGTTATTATTTGGGCGTAGTCGAGAGCTTTTTAGTGAGTTTTTTGCAAAAGAGTTAACGTGCGTTTCATTGAAACCCATTCTTGATTATGTTCATTCATCGTGTAACAAATTATTATGAGCTAAATTACTATAATGTACGTTGTTGTGTTTTTAGAATTTGTTTGGAGCTGTGTTTTTGGATGCGTCTGAATATTATCTTATTCTCATATTTGTTTGTTGCTGAAATTCAGATCACACTTTTGGTACAATGGGAGAAGAAGATTTCTACACTGATGATGGAACAGTGACTCTGAAAAAGAAGCCTGCTGATAAGAGGAAAACGGGAACTTGGAAAGCATGCCGCTTTATTCTCGGTGAGAATACACAACAATTTTGGAGCTTTTAACACTAATATTTTCTACCATAATTTTTTGAAAAAACATCACATAAAATATATTTTCTCACAAAACATTACATTATATATAACTTTTTATTATTTTCAAAAATTTAAAAACTCCAAAACTCAACGGTGTCTTATTCTTCAGTTTTAATTTCGATGTATCTGTCTATCTATCTATCTGTATTAACTAACTAACTAAGTGATTGGTGAACTGTTGGTAAATTTCGACAGTGACTGAGGGCTGTGAGAGATTGGCATACTATGGGATGAGCACCAATTTGGTGAATTACCTTACAGATCGGCTTGGCCAAAACAATGTAACTGCATCAAACAATGTTACAAATTGGTCAGGAACTTGCTACATCACACCACTGCTTGGAGCTTTTCTAGCTGATTCTTATATGGGGAGATATTGGACCATTGCCTCATTCTGTATCATCTATTTTCTTGTAAGCATTGCACTGATTCGATTCCTTTCAATTCTTTCTCATTTATAATGTTTTTGGTTGAATAAACTACTCACTCACTCACTCACCCCATACATATAGGGTATGGCACTCTTAACACTGTCTGCTTCGATTCCGGGCCTCAAGCCAGAATGTGATCATGCGCATGGTGGATGTCATCCAAAAGCGTCGCAAACACTGGTCTGTTTCTTGGCACTATACATGATTGCCCTCGGAACTGGCGGAATCAAACCGTGTGTGTCCTCCTTTGGAGCAGACCAATTTGATCAGAACGATGAAAAAGAGAATAAAAAGAAAAGTGGCTTCTTCAACTGGTTTTATCTCTCTATTAACATCGGTGCATTGATTGCTTCCTCTGTTCTGGTGTGGATACAGATGAATGTAGGATGGGATTGGGGGTTCGGAGTTCCTGCAGTGGCCATGGGAATCGCCATTGTTTTCTTTTTTATCGGCAGCCATAGGTATCGTCTGCAGAAACCAGGGGGGAGCCCCCTCACCCGAATAGCTCAAGTCTTGGTTGCATCCACTCGAAAATGGAATGTGAAGGTTCCTACCGATAGCTCCCTTCTCTATGAAACTGCAGATCACGAATCCAACATCGAAGGAAGTCGCAAGCTCGAGCACACGGACATATTGAGGTAAGTTTGGCTTCCCGAATCAGAATTGTTGAATCCTATCCTAGTTAGCTACGAAATTAATGATCTTGTTGGGCTGCAGGTTTCTTGACAGAGCTGCGGTTGTTTCAGAAAACGATAATGTTGATATGGTGAAAGGAAAAGTGAGTTCTTGGAAAATCTGCACGGTGACTCAAGTGGAGGAATTTAAATCGATCATTCGACTGCTCCCGATCTGGGCTTCAGGGATTGTTTTCTCGTGCGTGTACAGCCAGATGAGCACAATGTTCGTTCTCCAGGGCAACACAATGGACCCTCACATCGGCCCCAACTTCAAGATCCCATCGGCATCCTTATCCATCTTCGACACTCTGAGTGTCATCTTCTGGGCGCCGGTGTACGGCCTGGTGATCGTCCCCATGGCAAGCAGGTTCACCGGACGGGAGCAGGGGTTCACCATGCTGCAACGGATGGGGATCGGGCTCGCCATTTCTATCGCCTCCATGATGGCGGCGGGCGCGCTGGAAGTGGCTCGGCTGAACTATGTGGTCCGGCATAACATGTACGACGCAAAGACTATTCCGATGTCCATCTTCTGGCAGGTGCCGCAGTACTTTCTGATCGGGTGCGCAGAAGTGTTCACGTTCATCGGACAGCTGGAGTTCTTCTACGACCAGGCGCCCGATGCTATGAGGAGCCTGTGCTCGGCGCTGTCGCTGACGACGACGTCGCTGGGGAATTACCTGAGCACGCTGCTGGTGACCATAGTGACGAGAGCGACGAGGAGGGGCGGGAAGGCTGGTTGGATTCCGGATAATTTGAACCGAGGGCATCTGGATTACTACTACTGGCTCCTTGCGGGGCTCAGTCTGGTTAACTTCCTGGTCTATCTCCTAATTGCACGTTGCTACACTTATAAAAAGGTCAAAGTGGCAGCCGAACCTAATTAACGACGACCTAATTGGAAAGATTCAGCTGCACTGATGGAGATGATGGATGGTCCAGGTTTTTAATTTGTTGCTTCTGCTTATCTGCTACCATCACTTTAAACCAGATGGATACTCGTCAATCTGTCTATATCTCTCTCTCTGCACGTGATTTTTAATTACTTTGTCCTGTTTGTCTCCCCATGTTTCTTATCATCACTTTAATGTTTAAACGACTTTATAAGATTATGATTATCCATGGTGATTTCAAGGTTTTTCTTTGGTTTAGGCTTTTCCAAGTTTTGGAATTATCAGTAGAAAAATTGATTTCTCTGTCGATTTCACTCTATCATTGTTGATTTAGATTTTCAAATATAAAATAGGGTATGTTGCGTAGGTGTTTGGATTTGAGTTTGAGTTTAATTTAAAGCAATTTGTATAATTTTGATATAAATAGGCATCAATATAATATTTTGAATATAAAATTAATTTTTTTTTATAATAATAAAAATTATATGTATTTGATTTGATTTTTTTTAAATAATATTGATGAATATTGAAATTTTATTAAATTTTATAAAAGAATTCACTAATATATGATTTGGCATGCAATTAGAATGTAATTTTGCAATTTTGTTTTTTAAAATATTCAATTGCATTCTTTTAAATTTAAAAATTTTAAAAAGTTTTAAAATTAGAATATTAGAAATTGTGAAAGTAGTATTAAAAATTTATTTTTATTATTTTTAGATTTGAAAAAAATTAATATACATAGTAATTTTTATTAAGAGTGCTGTAAAATATAAATAATAAAATTTTCATATATATATTTATTTTGTTTATTATTGATTGATTTATTATTTTATTATATTTATAACTTTTAATAAATTTATTCTATTTGATAATTTTTTTAATATAAAACTATATATAAAAACAAATAAATAGTAGTATTTATGTTTTTTTATTATGTTTAAATTTTAACAAATATGTACTATATTTAACAAATAAAATAAATTATATATAATATTCAATTATTTTAAAATTTATAAAAATAAAATTATAATCTAGTAAATAAAATATATTAAAATAATTAATAATTACTATAAAAATATATTTATATATATATGAAATAAATAATAATATGTACGGGCAAATAAATAATAAAAAAGATTAAAGTGAAAAAAAATGTTTTTGAAACGCTGAGTTATATAGTTTTCTGAAAATTAATTTTTTTATTCAATAAATTATTTCAAAAAGCTAATTTACCAAGCAATTAAATTAGTTTTTTTTTTTTTTTTTACTAATCAAACAGTTGACAGCTGTTTAATAAGCTAAAAAAACTTTTGAAAAAGTTGTTGCCAAACACACTCTTTAACTCTTAATTAGTTAAATGATATTATTTTTTACTCCCTCCGTCCCACATAATTTATCTCTATTTTCTATTTCCATCTGTCCCACATAATTAGTTCTTTTTTTTTTGGAAAATTAATTATACACTTTAATCATATTTTAAAATTTAATTTTTTTAATCTTAATTAAACTATTTAATTATTTTAATCTTAATTTATAATTATTTTTACTATATAATAATTATTTTTAGTAACACAGTTCTTAATTACTTACTAATTATACTTTACCTAAATTCTCGTATCTACAGTCATAGTCCATATTATGTAGGACGGAATGAGTAATATTTTTATATAAATAGAATTGTTAGTAATTTTAAAATAAAAATTAATATATATAATTAAAATAAATTTGAAATATGCGTTTAAATATTTTAAGTATTATATTTTAATAAAATATATGCAATATGTATATCATTTTGTAAAAAATAAAATTTTAAATAATACAAATAAATAAAAAATATATTTATTTATTTATAATTAAGATAAATTAATTTTATAAAAATGATGGAGTTTTAAATATAAATAAAAATATTTGTTTACTAAAAAGATAGGTAGAAATAAAAAGGTATTAAGTGGATCGTACGTGATGTGTGATTTATATATTATAAAATTAATTATGTTGATTTATATTTGTTAAAGTATATTAATAAACTTTACAAAATATAGAAACCTGTTAATGAAACAAATAAAAAAGGAAACAAAGACAATTGAAATTTGACAAATAGAGTGTTAAGTTGCTACTATTATTATTATTATTGTTGTTATTATTATTACACGTTCAAATTATGTCATTTATATGATTTTGATAAGTGTTATTTTATAGTGACTAATCATATTATATTTGATATATGAATACCATTCTTTGCAAATGAATAAGATAGATTTTTAACAAGAGTATCATTTCCGTTTTATTGCTTTTTGTAATGCGTTTCTTAATTTTGACAAGGAACTCCCTTGCTAGTAATAATATTATTAGATATCGTGCTCCAAAAAATTTATAAAGTGCTTCTTAATGGTCATCAAGACTTAAACATTGGACTTATTCCACATCTTAAATAATTGTTTTTATCTGCAGTGATTTTTACCGGATGAGTGAGTTGGTCTACTCTTAACGCCAACTTAAGATTCAAGCAGCCCAAATAAATCAATATTGATTATTTCCAGTGCCGAAAGTTATTTCCATACCGTGTTGGGATTGAATAAATATATATATATATATAAATATTCATGAAGCATAATGAAGCTCAATAACAATACATTATAATCCCAAGATACTAAGGGCAACATCAATGATCAATGATCAATCTTTTGATCAATAACATTGATTGCTAGCAGTCATCTTGTTGCAATAATTATGTACGGACAATAGGTAATGTCAAATAATAAACCACTCTTCGGATTGGTTCACTATTCACATAAGTTAAAGCCGTATAATCATTTCATTCATATTATCGCAGATGTATATTTCATTTTGTCAATTATTGATGGTCTTTGGGCCAAAGAATAATCACATTACAAATATCATTTCAATTTACAATATATTACACAAGTGTTATTACATTTATATCATACAATACTAATAAGGTTAGTTTAGTTTTTTTAACTTTATTTATACTACATTCCACTATAATACTGAACTTTCTAAAACTCCGTACAAAAAGCAAACAGATAGATAAATATGAGACAGAGAGAGTATTTGATAATATATAATTGATGTGTTTCTTTAACCGAATTTGAGAAACTTTTACTATTTGGGTATTATTGATTTGGGTTTTGGCCGGAAGTGTGGGTTGGCAATTTTATTTTTTTCTAAATTCGAAAAAGTTTTTATAATACAAATAAATAAAATTTTAAAAAATATATGTTGATATAATATAATTACACAATCAAATTATACTATTATTAATTTTATAAATTTAAATTTATTATAATTATATTATTATGTTTATTACTCATCAAATCAATACCGATCAAAATTCTCCAAATCTAAATCAAACCCACACATAAAAAAAATTAATAAATTCAAACTTATTTTAAAATTCAAATATAAACTAAACTCAAACTCAAATTTTTCGAAACTAGCTTAAAATAACATACTCAATATGTTCTAGATACTTGTTGTTTTAGATACTTTTGACCAAAGTCAAATTTTATATAACTCACTACGTCAATTTGATTTTCAAATAATTCCCTTCAAAAATTGAAATTACATCCTTACCCTTCTTTATACATTGATATGAAGATCAATAAAAGCAAATAATATTTATTTTGTTGAAAACGTCATGCCTATATGTATACAAATATATTGTAACCATATTAAGCACTTTATGTACCAAATACATTGTAGCTACATATACCAAATTAGGATACATATTTCAAACTGTATGGCCTCCTCATCCCACTTTTAAACATGGTTTAGTTTTATTATTTTTAGGTCCTTTAAAATACTGGTCTAAACGAGTCAACCTACGCGGACTGGAGGTTGAAAATGAATTAGCCCGCAGTACGATAGACTAGCCCGTGGACCAAATAAATATAATTATAATTATATTATATCTTTAATATTTCAAAGATAAATGTCATAGGTGCGGCACAAAGGGACACTAGTCGCGCGTCTGCAGAATGCCTAAGCACTTGGTTGATTTGTACCCGGTGATATGTGCTATATATGATAATATTTTGCTATATTTTGGGCAACTTTTTTATGCAGGATTTTGTATATATGCTCCTTATGGTGAGTTTTTTATTTTGTAATAGGTTTCATGGAGTTGGCAAGTTTTGGGACGTATTTGGGAGAAAATGAGCATAACACTTTAGGCGTGATCACGCAAGTACATAATGTGAAAAAAATGAGAATTTATAAAAACACCATCCGGGATTATGTGGGGATTTAATTGCAAAGGGAATCTAATTAAAAGAGGATCATGCGATGAAGAATTAAGAGGCACGATTTTGCAATTGAAAAGATGGAGAGAAAAGAACTACCACGTTCTTCACCACGATATCAACCATTTGAGGGATAAGAGACGCAAGAAAGAACGTAGTGCAGAGAGCTCCCGGGAGCAGGGCAGACAAACTTTGAGGGGATTTTTTCTTCATTCTTAGAATTGGTCTGTTGTCGATTTCCAAATATTGAAGGCATGATGAACTTTTTTATTTGCTTTGTGTTTTCGATTTTCATGGATTATGAGTAATTTATTTTCTAGCTTAGGTATGAATTGAAGTTTGGGATATGAATTTGTGAGACTTGGTTTTTATTATAATTTGATGTTTATTGGTATTGGGTATTTTTAATTTCTCTACTTGGTGAGATTAGAAATCTTAAATTGATATTTGTGGCTACGTATTAGTTTGAGATTTCATAGCTATATTGAGAATTGACACCCGTGATTGTGTAATCTTTCAATTGAAGTAGCAAACTAGAGGAAGAATACTCTAGGGAGGAATAAAAATCAATTTTGAACAAATCCTTGTAGGAATTTGGTTAAATTGAATTGGGTATTTCTAGTTCTCAATGCTTTCGAGTCAGCAATACTACGGTCGTACCTAGGATTCTCACTCGATCAGAGAAATAGCTAACGGTCGTACCTTAGCTATCGAAAATATAAAGAAATATTGGTTGTGAACATGTGTAGATCAACTATAATAAATTTATCCAATAAACAATAAACTTATTTATGGTCAATGAATAAATTTCATATCCCGAATGGAGATTTGTGCCTAGGCTAGAGTTTAGTTAATTTTGGTATTTGGTTATATTTTAGCTTAGTTTATTTTTTTTCTAATTTGAATTATTCTCCTTCTTTATTTAGCGTAGTAAATCAAATCTCAAATCCCCCCCTTATATATATAATTA